CTACAGTCATACAATGTATTACTACACAGTCATTCATCCAAGCAATTATTTACCGGGACCACAGATGGCATGGAAGTTAAGGCAACTGGATTGCACATGTCTGACTCTGCAGTTCAGATCCTGGACTGGTAGCTTAAAGGTCATGCTAGATACTTTGTACATGCACACCCAGGATCCTGGAGGAGAGGGGACTGCAATGTGATCATCTCCTCTGGGGAGTGATTTCCCACTCCCCCCACCCTTGCGCAAGAACACACGCCCTATAACAACAACTTAAAAAAAAAAAAGAAAAGAAACAAAGAGAAAGAAATATTTAGTAAGTGCCAGGCACAGTTCTAGCTGCTGAATGCACAGGAACTAGTTAGAACACAGTCTCCATAAAGTAAAGCTCCTAGCCTGCCCTACTGATTGCTGTACCCTAGAACTTACTACACACTAGGCACTCAGTAGGTCTATTAGGTAGTTGAATACATTTCAACATAGTAGTAAGCCTTTGTATGAAAATGAAAACAACTTAATCTCCTACATTTTTAATATAAAATTAGTTGTAAAAGCTTTTTTTTTAAAAATAAAGCTAGTTTTGGGGCCAGTAGGTGGCATGTTGGTTACAGCACTGGACTTTCACATGGCTGACCCCAGTTTAAGTCTTGGACCTGGTGGCTTGCTTTCTCACTTTTCTTCTCTCTCTGGTGAGCACATGCCCTGTAGCAAATTTTAAAAATACTAATAATGATAACTAAAATGAAATAATCCTTAAAAAAAAAAAAAAGCTTGTTTCATGTTATCGTGACATATAATCTCAGTGACACAGTGGGTTTCTAACACACATCTATATGTATAACATTTCTTTTTTTTTTTTTGAGAGGTTTTTTACTATAGGGCACATGCGCTTGGCTGGAAAACAAAGAGAGAGACTGAGAGACAAAAAGCAAGAGATCACCCCCCAGGGGCATGGCCACATTGCAATCTCTTCTCCTCCATTCTCCTCCTGGGATCTTGGGCATGCACGCACACACGCCCGGCATTGAGTTTAAGCCACCAGGTCTAGGACTCGAACCACAGCTGACTACATGGGAGTCCAGTGACATAGCCATTACACCAACTGCTGGTTCCGTATGTATACCATTTCTTAACCAACCCTAGAAACATACCTTTACAATGAACTGCAATGGCACCCTCAGCATTTTCACAAATATCCAGAAATTCTTTGACAATGGCATCAGTAGGGGTGCTGCCATCCGCAAAGAAAAGATCGTGGTGATCGAAACCAGCATCCGTAAAGCGTTTTGCATCATACATCCTTTTATTCAGACGAATAATGGTAGTGACGTTGTGACTCTTAAAATACGGAATGTAAGTCTCGGGAGAATGTTGGTGGTAACCTACATAAAGAAATGCAGCGCATCTTGTAAACTGCAGACAGAAAACAATGGACAACAGTTTCACCTGTAATTGAGTGGAAACAGTATCTGGGCTGGGGACTGAATATCGATTTGATTATTAACTGTAAAAAACAAAATTAAAAAAAAAAAAGTTAAAATCCAAGCAGAATGACACACTGAAATGACCAAGTATGCTAAAAGTTAAGACTTAGTCGAGCTTAGTTTAACTCTTGGCCTCTTGCAAAAGAAAATACAGGATAGATACTTTCCATAACAATGCTATGCTGGTCCCATAGTTTCACATACCACTTTCAAGTCTGGATCTTGAATGAGGCCCACAGAAGGCAATAAATCGGTCTGGTATTATCCAATTTAAATCTCCATTTTCTGCTTTCTGCAAAGGGAAGACCAGCACAATTCATTTTCAGACTTAGCTCCCTCCCCACTTCCCTTCTCGATCCTGAGTCTCTGAAGGACTTAGAATCCTTTTGCTTTCACATACAAGCTTTTACAAAAGTCCGTTAGACCGGGAATCTGAAATTGGCCCTGTGCTATGAGTAGTCCCAGGGAAGAGCAGGCTCCCTTCTCCGGTCCTAATCACCTCCTGTTAACTGTGTTTCCGTGGTAGGCTGTTAGCCCTTGGAAAGCGCACTGCTGCCATCCAACACACACTGAGCGCCTGGCGATCTGACCTGAGTGAAGAGAGCAAAGCCTCCCAGTATGAGGGCTCTGGACACTTACCTGTGTACCCGAATGACTGATTTCCAGTATGACCACTGCGACTCCTCACACAGAGGAGATAAAAACCACTTAGGTTCCTGGATTGCCAGTACTTACTTACCTACTCATAGAGACAGACCTTTCTACCATTTTCCTAACTACAGAGGGTCAATAAAAAAAATTGCAGTAACAGGAATTTCAAAATTCTAACTATATGGAGATCACAATCTGTCTTTATGAAAAATGAATCTAAGTTACATAAAACATATTATTACTTAAGTGCTTTGGATTGAGTTACCCTTGAGATCATCCTAATATGAATGGAAGTCTAATTTAACGACAACAGAAACCTTTTTCCTAATGAGATGGATGACAGACTTTTAAGCAAGAAGGAGATATTTGGTGGAAAGGAGAGATTTAGTGATAAACAAAAAGGACGTAAAGTAGCTCTGCAATGGAGGCATTTACCTGTGTACCTAAAGATGAGTGGGAGCTGAGGTTTTTACATAGAAGCTTTTGCTTTAGGGAACGTGGACCGCTGCAGAGACAGACACAGTGAGAGGGAAAGTGAGAAATCACCCCCTACGGTGCGATCTCCTCCATTCTCCTCCCAGGATCTTGGGCGAACATGCACATACACCTGGCATGATTCCCAAGCCACCAATCCGGGATTCGAACCGGGGTTGGCCATGTGGAAGTCCAGCAATGTAACTGCTACGCCATCTGCTGATCCCTAGTTTCTTTTTTTTTCTTTTTCTTTTTCATTTTTAGGTATTTGCCACAGGGCATATACTCACTGGAGACAGAGACAGAAAGGAAAAGTGAGAAATCACCCCCCTGGGGGTATGGCCATGCCACAGTTCCTTCTCCATTTTCCTCTAGGAAATTTTGGCACACATATACATGTGCACAGGGTTATTTTAAAGCCACAGGGCCTGGGACTCAAACTGCAGTCGACCATGTGGGAGTCCAGCGCCTTAACTACCATGCACCTGCTGGTTCCCAAACTGAGTTTCGTGGACAGCCACCGGGGGCCAGGCAAGCAACTCCAAACCCGTCTGCTTGACTTAATGATCATGAGCATGGGCCCTGGTGAGCGCAGGTTCTACTCATAAAATGTCTGATCAGGAATGAGGATAAATGTTGCCCGATGTTCTGATTTTGACACGAAACCAGACATCTGGAGTTTTCAGTAAGAAACTCTTCATTTGATATTGGCAAGAACTTCATTTCACTGAATTGCTGGCATCATAGACTGTTAGGATCCATCCTGAACCCAGAGAAGTTGAAACAGAAAATTTGGGCATCCCGGACTGAAGGAAGACACCAAGCTCTGATGCTGAAATGCAACGCACAGACCACACAAGACAGGTCTCTAAGCTGGTTACCTACTCCGTGGTCTGCGGCTCCCTGAGTCTCAGTGCAGTCTCATCGCTGACAAAAACATTTAGTTACAGGGACCACTGTGTTACAGTGAGGGAGCGAACACCGCCAACTGGCATTTTTAGTAGGCTTGTTACCTAACTAGAGAAAACATACTTTATTTTACATGTTTAACTTTACAAGAACAAAGCACACAAAAAAGTGTAAAAAATTTGGTGACATTCAACTGTTTAAGAAGGTAAATATACACTGTATTTTAGAACTGGCTTGCTATGACAGACAAGTGAAGACAGGGCTGCCCTAGTGACGCCTCCCACATGCTTTCAGGTTTCTGGTACCTCCCAGAAACACTCCTCGCCGTTCTTGCCCCAATTCATTAGTGAAATGGCTCGGTTATACTTACAAGTTTAAAATAGCTGTTATTTTAGAAACTGATTGTGAAAAAATTACTTATCTGAGCCTTCAAGATCTTATGGCATGAGGAATGAGCCCTCCGCTATCAGAGAAAAGTGCTCAAGATAACTAACGCAGATAAAAGACAAGTTCTATCCTGGCTTTTTGAAAATGGCCTCTGGCAGAGATGGCCTCTGACTTACAATCTACGGAGGAGGAGCTGCAGAATCAAATTGCATACTTAAAAAACAGTTACATTAAGAAATGTAGGAGACACCATGGTTTTGTATGTCAGGGCTCCATGTGGCCCACCATCCATCCATCCATCCATCCATCCATTCATTCATTCATTCGAGGTTTTTGCCACAGGGCACATGCACTCACTGGAGAGGGACAGAGGGAGAAAAGGAGAAATCACCCTCCAGTGGGATCGGCCACGCCACAGTCCCTTCTCTTTTCCTCTCAGGATTTTGGGCACATGTGCTTAAGTGTCCAGCATGATTTTCAAGCTGCCCACCCAGGATTCAAACTGTGGTCGACTCTGTGGGAGACTAGTGCTTTACCTGTTTAAAATTTTTGTGGGGGGTCCAGCAGGTGGCGTGGTGGTTAAGGCACCAACTTTCACATAGCCAACCATGGTTTGAGTCCTGAATCTGGTGGCTTGCTTTCTTACTTTCTCTCACTCTCTCTCTCTGTCTCTCTGGCCAAATTTAAAAATGATAATAAAATTAAATAAATAATTCTTTAAAACATTTTATTTGGGGGTATAGATGGTTTGATTGGGCTGACCCAGATACCTCAGCTCCTGGGATGGCCAGAGAGTTAAATGAGCCAGAGAATTCCACATCCCTCTCCCCTGCCACAGAACACAGGCTGGCTCGGGGACAGGTACACGGTCTAGGTCAGGTCAATGCGGCCTCTGTGGGCCTCCTGCTATGGCCAAAGTACTGTTTTCTGATGAGTTTGACCAACAGGAAGATCAAAGCTGCTGGGAGCCATCCCGATCAGCCCAGCAGGGCTGGCCAGAGAGCAAAATGAGCTTCAGTCCAATTTCTACGTGAGCCCCTGAATAGGGGGGCATGCTCAAAGCCACATCTGCTTGTGGACTTGTAATTTATGTGATCCAATAGACTGTCCTTTTAATTCAAGCCATCTGTGCTTACTTTTCTGTAACTTGCAGCCAGAAATGTCCCAGCTTCACACAAAGAAAAAGACTGTGATAAAAGCAACGCCCTTTCCCAGAGACAACCAGCTCTACAGTGACCATGCATTGTCATCACTCCCTATTATGGCTTGCCCAAGTATTTTCCCAATCACTGCATGAAAGTCCTCAATACCCAAAAATATTTAACAGTATGAACAACACAGGGGCAAGCCCATATACTCTGGAACCATCCATCGAAGGTCGTTTGATCACCACTAAAAACTGGGCAGGAGAAATGGGGGTGAGCAGATGAAGGCTTTCAAATTTTTCATTTGAAAAAACAAACTAAGAGTATTACTTCTGTATGTAAAACACACGAATAGAAGAATTACAAACGGGGTGGGGAGGAATGGGGAGACTTTGGTCCAAGGGTACGAACGTTCAGTTATAAGAGGAGCCCTAAAGAGCGTGCGTCTATATTACGACTTGCAATCTGCTGAGAGTAGACCTTCCGTGTTCTCACCATATACATACATGCAAGACAGTATGCGGATTAGCTGGAAAGTGGAGTTAATTTCATAAAACAAACGCATATCACAATGTTAATTTGCACACAATTTTTTGTTAATTATACCTCAAGATAGCATGGGGGGAGATGTTAAAAATCATCCTTAAAGACTTACTTCATAGTGTTCATATTCATCAAGGTTAAATGAGTTGAAATTAAGGAAGCCATACTGCATTGCCTAAAATCCAAAAGAAAGCTTTTAAAAACAAAGATGTAAATAAGGAAATAACTTCCTAATAATAAATAGAAGGTGCCCCGTAAAAGCATTATACTTAGATTACTTTCCATGGAATAGTTTCAAAGTGTGCTGTGTCTCTGAAACGCTTCCATTATCCGAAAATCAGTTTTAAGAACAGTTCTAAGATTGACACCATTATCCGAAAATCAGTTTTAAGAACAGTTATAGGATTGTCATTTTTTTTTTTTTTAATTTGCTATAGGGTCCGTGAGCTTGCTGGGGACACAGAGAAAGAGAGGGAAAGTGAGAAAGCATTCCTCATGGGAAACCGTCACACTGCAATCCCTCCTCCTCCGATTCTCCTTTGGGATCCTGGGCATGCACACATATGCCTAGCATGTTTTTCAAGTCTCCAGGTCCAGGTTATCAAACTGCTCAGTCAGCCATGTAGGATTCAGCCACCTTAACCACTGTACCACCTGCTGGTCCAAGACTGATTTATTTATTTATTTGAGAGATATTTTTGTCATAGGGCACATGTGCGTGCCAGAGAGACAGAAAGCGAGAAATCACCCCACCCCCAACTGCAGGGGGATGGCCATGCTGCAATGCCTTCTCCTGAGATTTTGAACACACATGCTCACACACCCAGCATGAGCTTCAACTTGCTAGGTCCAGGCCTCGAACCACAGTCACCTATGTGGGAGTCCAGCAACATAACCATCACACCATCTGCTGGTTCCCCAAGACTGATTTTTAAACTTTCATTCCTCAATCATCCAGCCCAGCATAATTAAACATCATGCCTTCAGAGTAATCCCACTAACTTACTACATCAACACCACCCAGGGTTGAAGATTCAGAAGTTCAAACTCAATTCTAATGTACAACCCCAACTGACTCTAAATAAATAACGAAGAAAAAAAACCACAAGAACTAGTTTAGCCCAAACAGAGCTCACACGCTTCATAAATATCTCCACTTATGAATGCTTCTGAACCATCCTGACTCAAGAGATCAATGTTCCTTATACTAAAAGATGGCCCCGACATCAACACAAAATTTTAAGACCTTGATGAAAAAATTCTTTTTTACATAAGGAAAAACAAAACAAGAAATTTCTGTCCTACGTGCAGCCTTATCCTGAGTTGCTGTGGGCACAACATCTACTTTCTGGACAACGATGAACTGACATGTGGCAACACTGAAAAGCCTTCTCCCTGCCTACCGATCCCTGAGTCAGACAGGACAGAAGCAAGGATTCTTTACCAAGAAGATGTGCTTGAGTCAGGAGGGGGTCTTTTATAAATGTAGTTTGCAAAGTTTAAACTACTAACATAGACATGCAAAGGATGGTGACTAACGGCCGGCAGGTGGCGTGGGGGGTAAGGCACTGGACTCCCACATGGCCAACTACACAGCCTGAGTCCCAGGCCTGGTGGCTTAAAAATCACGCCGGGCACATGTGTGTGCATGCCCAAAATTACGAGAGAATGTAGTAGAAAAAGAACTGCAGCGTGGCCATCCCCTAGGGCGGTGATTTCACACTTCGTCTCTGTAAGGGAGCACAAGTGCCCCCACAGCAAAAACTAAAACCAACAAAAATGGTGGCTAAAATATCAACAAAATAGTCCCCATTTTATAAATATTGTTATGTAAGTACTAACTCCAAGACCAAATTCATGATAAGTTTTATTTCCTTGAAATCAAAATGGTCAACATTATTTTTGGAGTAGAAATGCTCCTAACAGAATGATTCAATAAAACCTAATTTTTAGGCAATTTTTATTTTCCTTTGACTTACTAAGATGACCCTATTCGACACAGACAGCACTAAAGTGATGCACTGAGGTTTTATAAATGCAATGACATTCAAACGCAAATAAAAATTTCAAATTGAAAACCAGAAGCTTTTAGACCCTTGAATGAAGCCAAATACACTATGTTCATAGAAAAATGAAATTAAGAGTTCGTTTTGATGCAAAAAATGTTTGAAATCCATGTCTATTTTCTCATAATATGTATTTCCATGAACTTTCTGAAGACCCTTCATATATGTGAAAAAAGCAATCTCTGACCTAGCATCATAGCTAGGTGTTAATACCAGATTAAAAATCTAACCCAATAAATAACAACAGAAACTGCTATGCAAATGTTAGGGTAGATCATTTCCCTGGTCGTTGAAGCGTTTCTTCTTAAAAGGTGAGCGTGCCTACAACAGCCTTCTCAGGGCCCTCTGGCAGGAGGGAAAAGGTCACTTACACCTGTTGTCCTTTGCTGTCCTGATCTCGGGGCCTACCTACGCTGAGGCCTGAAGGACCCTCAGAGCCTGTGTAATTGCCTCAAACAGCTCCAGGCCCCACGGGTCACAGGACTCAAATCCAGACTAATTCCGTTCCCAAGCCTCATTGCCTGGCACAGGAAAAAAAAGAGTATCCTAATAATTAATTAAGTCTGAATTTACATAGTTAGTCCTCTCATTTTAAGACACAAAACTTCTGTCAAGATTCTCAGACAGCAACCATGTTTCATTACATAAGAAAGTAAACCTGAGTTCCATTCCCTTCCCTAAACACAATCATGGGAAACCTGAAATGTCAATGAAGGCTTATTTATCCATGGGCTTCTAATTTATAATTCTGGTTTCTCGTGCTGCCCTGACCTGAAGAAAATCTACCTGTGGAGGAAGTGTTAGAGCCAGGCCTGGGGCACTGTACAACCCCATTCGTCAGTGATGTGTGCGATGCACGGTCCCCTGGAGTCAAGACAGCAGGCCTGCTTATAACAAGGCAGCTATTTGAAAATGGTTTTGACAAGGCAGTGACCCACGTGGTTTTACAGAAACCTTCTAACGGGCTCAAACTCGTCTGCTGAACTAGAAACTGAACGCCTGAAGAAATAAACCCTGAGTCGGACGGCTCCTGTGTTAGAGATGTCTGTGGTAAACGTGACTGAGGAGAATCTGACCCAGAGATACATAAAGCAAAGGGAACGTGGCAACCGGTGATCTATTTACTACTCGTTTTGAAGTCACCACACACTCACAACCAGTCCAGGATCCAGAGCCTAACTGTGTAACTATGTCACTGCCCTGGGCTTGGTTTGGACTCACTGTCAGCGCTGAGATCCTCCTGCCTCATTGCCTAGCGCGGCAAGGACTCTCAGCTGGGACTACGGCTACGCACCACCACCCCTGGCTCTTGTTCAGACAGGGTCTCACTGTCGCTCAGGCCAGGCCGCAGCTTGCGCTCCTGCTGCCTCAGACTCTCAATGTGCTAGGCCCAAGGTGCGTCCCATTACAACCTGCCATTAGGCTTGACCGGGATATAAATCTGGACGTTCCCTGTGGTCTCAGCCAGCAATGTGTGCCCTGTGGCAGCCTTCCCCTGACGCTTCGTAAGAGACAAGGTCTTGCAGGGCTGCCCAGGTCAGCGTCGAGCTCGCCATCCTGTCTCAGCTTCCCTAGTAGCTGGGACTACAGGCCTGCAGCACTTGCACCGACAAGCGCTCCAATTCAGAACACAGTTTCCTGGTTTAGGGTCACAGTAATGTTAGCTGAGAAAGGGAACAGCTCTGACATCGCATACATTTTAGAAGACATTCTAACTAGATCTTTGGGGAAGAAGACCCAGTCTTCCTTGGATTGCGCATTAGTTCTCCAACCCAACACTGGGTGCATCCGTCAAGGCCACTCTGACTTACCTTCTTCACTGCATGAAAACAGTCGAGAAGGGTAATGTAGAAATTGCAGCTTCCATAAGCAGCATCTCTGAAATTCCAAAAATATTGAAATAGCTCAGTGTGTTTAGTTTGTCATACACTTACCTCAAGATGAAGCGGACTCGAATTTAAAATCAGGCATATACTCAGAAAAAATAGGTATTTTCGCAAAAAATATTCTTGCCTTTTCCTTTAAAATCAAGGATTAATAAGTCTATCATAAATTCTCTGCAATGTCTACCTATTCCAGTAGGTGTTGTTTATGGGCCTGGATCAACTCTGACCACTTCCTAAATTTTAAATGCTCTCTCTGGATCATTTTTGACTTTGACAGCTGAGCTCCTTACTGACTATAGCTAAAGGATAACACGTCTCCCTGCAAAAGGAAAGGCATTTCAATTCTTTAAGTTGGAAAATACTGTGAAACTGTTACAGGATTTTGATTCCATGTGTATGTCTATGTGTATTTGTGTATATGTACACACAGTCTCCACCAAGTAGGAAAAAATACATTGAGAAACCACAGTAGTATTTGAAAAAGCAGGTGCAAGCATTTTATTACTATCATTATGTTAGGCCTTTCAGCAACGTTTGCTTTTTGTTGTTGTTGTTTTTTAAAGAGAGTTTTTGTTTGTTTGTTTGCTATAGGATATGTGCGCTCCCTGGAGAGAGACAGACAGACAGAAACCAAATCACAACCCAGTAGGGATAGGCACACCACAATCCCTCTTGGGATCTCGGGTGTGTGCACACACACACCCAGCATGAGTGTTAAGCCACCAGGTCAGGACTCGAACCATGGTCAACTACATGGGAATCCAGCGCCGTTAACCATTACACTATTCGCTGGTCCCGAGGGCTTTCAGCAATTTAGCTGAGTAACATTTTTCTGATTCCTGAGGGACAACAGAGCCAAAAGAACTTCAGGAACTAAGGCACCAGCTACCTTCAGGACCGTCACTCTGCTTGAAAGTGCTTAAACAACAGCTTCGCCCAAACACTGTGTCAGACACGTCAGCAATCGTAACTCTCTGGATATCAGGTGACACTGTCCAGAAAAAATAACACTCCCTAACCCTTACTTGCTTCTCCTTTCGGCTACCTTGAGCCACTACAAAATGGAAACTTTTTGAATTAGGCAAGATAAGAATTAACTACGGGGATCAGCAGGTGGCGTGGAGGTGACACTACTGGATCCCCCATGACTGACTGCGGTTCAAGTCCCAGACCCAGCAGCTTGAGACTTGAACAGACATGCCAGGCGTGTATGCCGGAGTGCTCAAGACCTGAGAGGAGAATGGAGGAGGAAGGACTGTGGTGTGGCCATCTCCTCCCCGGGTGTGTGTGTGTGTGTGTGTGTGTGTGTGTGTGTGTGTGTGATTTCCCACTGTCTTCTTCTTCTCTCCTCAGAGAGAAGCCTTAAGCAAAACTGAGGGAAAAAAGAAAGGAAGGAAGGAAGAGGGGGAGAAAGAGGCACCAGCCCACACCTTCTGAGTCTAAAGCTCCAGGGGTGGGGCCTGGTCATTTGCGCTTTACCAGCCCACCCAGGTGACTAGATGCTCATTCAAGTTCATAAAATACTGATCTACAGAACTAATGCAAATACTTGTTTTGTAGAAATGGGTTTTTCATGAGATAAGAAAACTTTTTAGGTAGAAAAGCTAAAGCAGGAAAACCAAGTAGCTTAACCTACCGAGTTCTAATCATTGTTGGAAATAAGATGAACTCTCAAAGCATGCCGATTATTTTTATTTATTTATTTATTTATAGGTTTTTGCTATAGGGTGTGTGCGCTCACCAGACAGACAGAGAGAGACAGAAAGCGAGAAATCACCCCCCAGGGGGGATGGCCACGCCGCAATCCCTTCTTCTCCATTCTCCTCTCGGGATCTTGGGCACACATGCACACGCGCCTGGCGTGAGTTTTAACCTACCAGGTCCGGGACTCAAACCGCAGTCGACCTACATGGGAGTCCAGTGACATAGCCATTACGTTAACTGCTGGTCCCATCATCCCGATTATTTTAACCATGTCTCCTCAGTTAGCTCGCATTCTTCTCAGCCTAGTGATAATTCTTCTCTGATCAGGTGAAAGACATGCTGATCCAGGCTGTCTGTCTGACATTTGATACACTTCTTCCATCCCATGTTTCTGAGACTCTACCCTGGGCCACGCCCCGCTGTAGTCAGGGACGGTGACAAGCTTTGCTCTGGGCTCAGCTCAGTCCTGCCACATACGTCACGTGAGCTAGATCCACAACCAGAATCTTTCTGTACCCATTCATGCTTTTCTCATGAAGACCTCTGACTTTAAAGACATACATATCTACTTCTCCCTACCCAAGCAGCCAGGATTCTCACGTAGCCCCAGTAGCAGCTCTGAATCTGGAGATAAGCCTTTTTCCGGGGGGTGGGGGAGGGCACTGCCACTATGTCTACTTAACAAACTTGAAAAAACAGATAAAAATCAATAAAAGGTTACTAATTTTTTTTTTTTTTCCGAGAGAGAGAGTTTTGCTATAGGGTGCGAGTGTTTGCCAGAGACCAAAGTGAGAAATCACCCCCACCCCAGAGGAAGGCTGCACTAGAATCCCTTCTCGTCTCCTCTCAGGATTTTGGGAACATATGCACATGCTCCTGGCATGAATTTTAAGCCGATGAACGGATCTGGAACTTGAACCATAGTTAACTACGTGGGAGTCCAGCAACATAACCGTTACTCCATCTGCTGGTCCCAAGGGGCTACTACTTTCAAACTGCAAAACAATACCCGATACTAGAGCTAAAAACAAACAAACAAAAAATGAGAGGAGCCAGCAGGTAGCTTAGTGGTTAAGGCGCTAGAGGCCCACATGGCCAACCAGGGTTTGAGTCCTGGACCTTGCAGCTTGCTTTCTCACTTTCCCTTTCTTCCGTCTCTCTCTGGTGAATGCAAATGCCCTGTAGCAAATTAAAAAACAATGAGAATGATAAATAAAAAATAATTATTTAAAAAAAAAAGAGGGAGACAAGTGAAATTAATTGATGGTGGTACAAGGAGCTAGTGGGGCCAGCAGAGGACGTGGTGGAACGATGTGGCAGTTACATCCATGTACATAAAACTTCACTGTGCTATACATTTAAAGTCCGTGTGTTTTTATTTTTTCAAGAGACAGATTTTTGCTATAGGGCATGTGAGCTTGCACGTGAGACAGAGAGACAGGAATTGAGAAATCACCCCCCCCAGGGGGATGGCCACTCAACAATCTCTTCTCCACCATTCTTCTCTCAGAATCTTAGGCATGCACACAAGCATGCCAGGAGTGAGTTCTAAGCCACCAGGTCTGGGACTCAAACCACAGTCAAATATGTGGAATCTAGTAACATAACCACTATGCCACCTGCTGGTCCTAAGATCAGTGTCTTTTTTGTTTGTTTGTTTGTTTTTGAGAGGTTTTTGCTATAGGGTGTGTGCGCTTGCGAGACAGAGAGACAGAAACAAGAACTCAAGCCCCATGGGGGATGGCCACGCTGCAATCCCTTCTCCTCCATTCTCTTTTTGGGATCTTGGGCACACATGCACACATGCCTGGTATGAGTCCAGGCCACCGGATCCGGGACTCAAACCACAGTTGATGACATGGGGGTCCAGTGACATAGCCATTACTCTATCTGCTGGTCCCCCTAAGATCAGGGTTTTTTTTTTTTTTTTTGGGGAGGTTTTCGCCCCACGGTTTTTGGAGAGGTTTTCGCCACAGGGCTTGTGTGCTCGCCAGACAGACAGAAAGCAAGAAATCACCCCCCAGGGGGGATGACCACGCCACAATCCCTTCTCCTCCATTCTCCTATTGGGATCTTGGGCACGCACGCACATGCGCCCGGCGTGAGTTTCAAGCCACCGGATCCAGGACTCGAACTGCAGTCGACTACGTGGGAGTCCAGCAACATAGCCAAGATCAGTGTTTTTTAAAAATCTTCTCTAAGTTAACATAACTTTAAAAGGGAAGATAAGCACTCAATAAATGTTAACACTATGCCACGTGGTGCTATACAATGTCTCTGAGATCCTCCCAACTCTTTTAAGTAGTTTTTATAACCATCCTGTAACAGACCAGGAGGCCAAGGCTCAAGTCTGTCAAAGACCAGACATCAGTAGCAGAGTCGAGTCAACCCCATCTGTCTGACAACAATCAACAGCTCTGAAACTGGATATAAGCCTTTTTCCAGGGGGAAAAAACATTGCTACTATGTCTACTTAACAAACTTGGAAAACTTTTTTTCAAACATTTTTTTTAACAATATGAATATTTATGAATAATAGTTAGGATGTACCCAATTCTTCAGGAAGAGTGTCTGACCGTACTGTTTTCAAAGCAAAAAGGAATTTAAAGCATTATTCCATTTTAATATGATTCTGCCTTGTAAAGTATCCTAAGCTTGTTTGTAGAGTCATAATGAGCAAACAGATCCCCGTGAATACTCGAATCTGAAAATCTTCTTGGTATTGAAGGAATGTGAAAGGTTGTCTCATTTTATTCAGGGAGGCTTTATTTTATATCTGGCTGGGTGGATTCTAGTCATAAGACACAGGGTAAGAATCAGTAAAGGGATTTTTTTTTTTTTTTTGAGAGTTTTGCTATAGGGTGCAAGTGTTTGCCTGAGACAGAAGTGAGAAATCATCCACCCCTGTAGGGGTAAAGGCCACGCCAGAATCCCTTCTCTTCCAGCCTCTACTCAGGATTGTGGGCACGAAGGCACATGTGCCTGGTGTGAGTTTTAGGCCACCAGGTCTGGAACTTGAACCTTGGCCGACTACATGGGAGTCCAGCAATGTAACCAGTATGCTGAAGGTACGTATGTTTATATGTTTGCCAGAGGCAGGGAGTGGGAGTGAGGAGAAAGTGAAAAAGCAACTCCTATGGGGGATGGCCATACCACAATCCCTTCTCCTTTTCTCCTTTCAGGACTTTGGGCATGCATAGATGCCCAGTGTGTTTTTCAAGCAGTGGGATCTGGAACTTGAATCCCTAATCAGTCATGTGGGATCGAGTCACTTTTAACCACCCTGCCATCAGCTGGTCCTAGGCTAATGCTTTTGTACAATACAATATATATGAAATACAAGAATTCAATAGTACTATGAAATTACATACCCACAAAAATACCATAATCTTACTTATCCCTTCTCGTTACTAGAAAAACAGAAAAACAAAACAAAACAAAAAAAAAAACCACACAGCAATTCCCCAATTATTATAATTTGAGTCCACAGATATAAAATGATTCTATTAAATTACTGCAATTGTCTCTAAAATTCTCGATGTCTGTGTTTCACTCCTCACAGACTGGTACGAGCTCACAGGCTGCACTGTGAGAAACGCTGCCTTCAATAAACCCAATTATCTGGCACCTATGACAAAAGAGACTCAAATTCCACAAATCCGAACCGCTCATAGCTAAATCCCGTTTTTTAGGGAATTACTGGTTGATGGTCTCAGGACCAGAAGTAACTAGCCCAATGTTTCAGTAGGAAACTTGGGCACTTTCAAACACAGGGACGGCGGTAAGCAGCCTTCATTCAGCTTTGGCACCTGTATTGAAATGAACTGAAAACCTTTTTTTTTTTTTTTACATCTATAACATTCCATGGACCCTCACGTGGCTTACTGAAATGTGCGAGCTAGTTCCTACTCTAAGACCTTCAGCTGTAAACGGTAAGGGTGGCGTTATACAGGGTTGCCATGATGAAGAAGAGTTCTGTAGGATAAAATTACTGCTGCGTGTCAAGAGACGAGCAATGTGCCTGTGACCCAGCGACACAAGCGCGGGCATTTCTGCGGGAGGAAGTGTACGGCTGCCATTACGTCACAGGCTGAGAGGAAGGTGAACGCTCTGGCTTCCAGCCCACCCCAGGTAACGGAGCACTGAAGATGACCCATGGGCCAGCACGAAAGGGTGACACTTGGCTAAACCAATTCTAATTTGCTAAAGCACTAACATTCAATCTTTAACCAATTATCATCGCCAAACTCTTCAGATTACCCTAAAAAAACTCTACTTCATGGGGTAAGTTCATGAAAGACCCTAAGAAGTTATCTGAAGAGATGCTGCCCATGGGAGCAGCTTATAACCTTATTTTAAAAAATGATTTATTATTATTACTATATTTAAGTTTGCTTTAGGGCACATGTCCAAGGGATTTGGGGAGAGAAAGCCACCAGGTCCGGGACTCAAACCGCAGTCAGTCATGTAGGAGTCTAGTGTCTTAAACACCACGCCACCTGTTGGCCCTTGAGAATCTTATGTTTTCAAAGACAAAACCAATCTTTCCAAATCAAGCATTTGAGGTTTTACTAATAATCCTAAACCAAGCGATTAATTTGTGGATCAAAGTACAATGTATTTTATATTTTCTACCATTCTAACAAACAAAAAGAAACTTTTAGAACTTAATATAAAGGAAAGAAAAAAACACTTTTTTTCCATAGTATCTTCAACACGTTCACATGGTAAGTATAAGATGACAACATCACCCATTTATGTGAAGACATCACTAGCTGCCACCTCTCCACAGCTGCTCACCTGGTTTTTCCGGTACTGGGGACTGCATTAGCAGCCTCAGTCACACTATCTCTGTTGGCTGTGTCCCTAGTCAAAAGGGGTTAGTTTTTGTCGCAGATATTGGGAAAACTGATGTCTTAAGTCCTCAGGAATTAAATTCCTCTGTCGGAGCTTTGAGGACCTTACCTCCAGGATTCTCACCCGATCACACTAGTTCTCAGCCAGGGGAGATTCTGCTACTCCAGCCCACACCCCACTTGTAGGGACACCTGGCAAGGTCAGGAGACATTCTGAGTTTTGACAATGGGAGTAAAGGGGGGGATGTTACTGGCACCAAGTAGCCAAAGGCCAGGGATGCTGCCAAACACACCACAGAGCACAAGCCCCCCCCATGTGTCAATATGGGGGGAAGGGCTTTACACATTCATGGAAAATGGAATTAAAATACTAGATTACTTTGGTGCAAAACATTTTGAAATACATGCATTTTTTTTGTTGTTTGTTAATTTGCACATGTGCTTGCTGAAGAGGGACAAAGAGAGGGAAAGCAAGAAATCACCCCAAGAGGGTATGGCCGCATCACCTCCCGTCTCCACACTTTCCTCTCAAGATTTCGGGGATGCACGCACACCTGTCTTGTGTTTTTCAAGCCACTGGGTCTGAGATTCAAACTACACAGCTGGTCATGTGGGATCCAGTCCACTTCACCACCCCGCCACCTAGTGGGCCATGTGGGATCGAGTCTACTAAACCACCAGGCCATCTTGTGGGCCATGTGGGATCCAGCCAACTTAAGGACCATGCCACCTAATGGGCCCTGTACCCTTTTTCATAACACACATCTTCCATGAACGTTCCGAACATCTGTCATAGCATCACTGTTGAGAAACCTAGATCAATGATGTTACTTGCACCCACTCTAAAAAAAATAAAAATAAAAATAATAATAATAATAATCACCATTTACCAGGTTTTCTTTACTCAGAAGCGATTGCCAAGATTCTTCCGGCAAAGGTGTATCTGATTAAATCCATCTACCGCATTGCGCTTATATTTACCTGAATGGAATATAGGATGTATCTCCGTAGATTAATATTCTATATGCTTCTTCTGGAGTTCTCCCCAAATATATAACCTACATTTGAAAAAAGGATAAAAAGGCAATTTACTTCTAAATGAAGATACAAGTACTGTCACTGTGAGGTAAATTCTGTACCCCTTCTAACCAGTCAATGGAGCTGGGCTCTCCAGCATCCCCCAGCGGTGTGATGAGCCACCAGGGTCGGGCCAGTGAGTTCCTCTTGGGTTTAAATCCGCTACAGCTAGTTTCTGTGGCGTGCAACATGAGCCCAGACGGACACCTTTTCATCAACTTCTGTGGTTCAAAACAGATTTTCTAAATCAAGATGTCAGACTGAGCTCAAGTGACTACCTCCCCTCCTTCCTGAAAATCCACTGAGATGACAATAAAGCAGCACATGGGGGACAGAGCTGGCGGGAGGACTCAGGTGAGGTGGAAAGAGACCAGAGAGCAGCATACATATTTTGATTAGCTCCCTCTCTTTAGGTTTAAGAGCTTATAACATGGCAAGGTTTCCTGTAAAACTGCACATGCGTCCTGGTTGCATTTGCTTCTTCTATGCTATGTTATGCTTCAATTTTCACTGGGTAGAATACTCTAAGAATATTCTTTAGTATTTGGGGTCCACACTGGTACTGGCTGCATTTCCAAAAACTTCTTCTCTTCCCTACGTCGGCATTGTTATTTGACAATGCATTAAGATTTTGGGTCTGCGGTATTTTTCTCTCAACAGTCTGTAGATATTGTCCCAAAGTCTTCTCATTTCTAGTGTTCCATAAGTTTACAAGTCTAATTCTCTCTTCTTCCTCTCTTCCTTCCTACAAGTAATCTGTTTTAGAAACTCAGAGTTGAAGAATTTTACCAGCATCTCTGACTCACTCACTCTCCCCTCCCTCATTAAGTCTGCCTGGGCCTTTGTGACTCTCATTGTATCTGAAGGCACAAGCCTTTCTTCAACCCAGAAACATCCCACAGGGCACCTCCAACGCATATACGGAGGCAGGAAACATTCCATTCGGCATACGTACTATTATCAAAATTAGATTAAATTCTAAAGCACATTTTGAGAAAATAGATTTTAAATGTTACTAGTAAAAAACAAATTGGGGGACCAGCAGATGGCTTAAGGGATACACCACTGGACTCCCACGTAGTCAATGGCAGTTCAAGACCTAGACCTGGTGGCTTAAAACTCAAAACTGGGTGCGTGTTCGTGTGTGCCCAAAATCCTGAGAGGGGAGTGGAGGAAAGGGATTGCAGCATGGCCAGCCCCGCCTCAAGGGGCGTTTCTCTCCTTCTGTCTCTGTCTCTTACATATGGCCTATAGCAAAAATCTCTTAAAAAAAATGTGTGTGCGGGGGCAACTGGTGGTTTGGTGGTTAAGATAACTGGACTCTACATGGCCAACTGTGCGGTTCAAGTCTCTGACCTGGTGGCTTGAGAAACACGCCAAGTGTGCATGTGTGCGCAAACTCCTTAGAGGAGGACTGTAGCATGGCCAATTCCCCTGGGGGTGCTTCACTCACTTTTCCTCTCCCTCTCTCTCTCTCCATCAAGCACATCCATCCCATAGTAAAAAAATAAAGAAAAGAAGAGAGGGAGAAACCAAAGGTTGGGAGGTGGCTTAATAGTAACACACTGCTCTGTGACATCTGATCCACGTGGGAAAGTTCCAGGTTCATGGTCAGAGGTCTAATACACGGGGCATGTGTGTACGTCTATGATCCGGCGTTGACTGAGGCTGGGGTGGAGCATAGCATCGAGATCCTACTGGGATGCCTGTCTCTCTCACTCATGGGTTAAATAAAAACTGGGACCAGAAGATGTCATGATGGTTATGTTGCTGGACTCTGACATGGTCGACCATGGTTTGAGTCCCGGACCCAGTGGCTTAAAACTCACACCGGGCTTGTGTATGTGTGTGTCCAAAATCCCAACAGAACAGAGGAGAAGGGATTGCAGTGTGACCATCCCCCAGGAGGGTGATTTCTCACTTTTTGTCTCACTGTCTCTGTCTCTCCATGAGTGCGCATGGCCTATAGCAAAAATCTTTTTTATTTTTTTAAAATTTTTTTATTTTTGGAGAGGTTTTTGCTATAGGGTGTGTGCTCTCGCCAGAAAGACAGAGAGACAGAAAGCGAGAAATCAACCCCCAGGGGGGATGGCCATGCCACAATCCCTTCTCCTCCATTCTCCTCTCGAGATCTTGGGCACGCACGCACACGCACTCGGCGTGAGTTTAAGCCACCGGGTCCGGGACTCAAGTCGCGGTTGACTACGTGGGAGTCCAGCAACATAGCTATTATGCCAACCGCTGGTTCCGGCAAAAATCTTTTTCTTATTAAAAAAAAAATCTGGAGGGAACCAGCAATTGGCGTAATGGCTATGTTGCTGGACTCCCACGTAGTTGACCGTGGTTCGCGTCCCAGACCCGGTGGCTTAAAACTCACGCCGGGCACGTGTGCATGCATGCCCAAGATCCCGAGAGGAGAATGGAGGAGAAGGGTTTGCGGCATGACCATCCCCCCAGGGGGTGATTTCTCGCTTTCTGTCTCTATGTCTCTCTCTGTCTATCTGGCAAGCGCACGTGCCCTATAGCGAAAACCTCTCCAAAAAGAAAACAAAAGAAATCTGGAAAAGAAACATCACTAAAAAAATTAATTACTAAATTTTTATCTCCATTACTTAACATTCTATTGGATCATTGTAAAAGTCATGATGTATTTTTCTATGCAAAAATGTGTCATGACTTTTCTGACAAGCCAATATATGTGGAACATTTTCCTCAATCCAATTATAAACATTCTGAAGTAAAGAACCCATGTCTTATTATTTCATTTAAGTCTTGATTCAAACGTTATAATATCTGAATTATAAATATATAGAGAGGAGATCACCAGATGGTGTGTAATGGTTATGTTGCTGGACTCCCATGCAGTAGACCACGGTTTGAGTCCCGGACCTGGCGGCTTGGACTCACACAAGGCGTATGTGCGTCTGTGCTCAAAATTTCAAGGAGAATGGAGGAGAAGGGACTGTGGTGTGGCCATCCCCCCAGGGGGTGATTTCTTACTTCTGTCTCTCTGGCAAGCACATGCGCCCACAGCAAAAATCTCTCTAAAAAAAGAAAACATTTCTTTATTTCCATGAGTCAGAGGAAAAGACAGCACCCCCAAGAGAGTCCTGATGCCACAGTCTGCTTTCACCCTTCAGCCAGTCCCAGATCATGGGCAACCATGTGCTGGTGTATTTGGGATGTCTCCAGCCTCCCAGAGCACGGTTCTTCACCGCTTTGGCTGATCAGCCCTGTACATCCCCATGTAGACAATCTATCAATTAACTTTCGATTTTACTACCATTTGGAAGAAGAGTACAACTAGTATTTCACAAAAAATGATTTTTAAAGATCCGGGCTGTTTTTCCAAATTCTCTCATTCCCTTCGAATTTCCAATGTCTCCCCACTCTCCTGAGACTTAGCAGATAACTTTGATAAACTCTTTTCCCTATTTTACTTTAGGACTTCCTAGCAGATCCCCTCCAAAAAAATGAAACAAACAAAAATGAAAACAATGAAACACACACACACACACATATACATACACATACAGAAACAACCTAAACCAGAAAGCAAAACTAAATTAAAAACATCTGGATGCCAATGAGGGTGAGAACGGTGTTTGATTCATTTGTATGTATGCATATATACACAGTTTGACTAAACTAATGAAACCCAAAGATCTTTTTCAAAATTTCCCTAAATTGCAGGGCTGGCAGATGGTATGGTGGTAAGGAGTTGGACTCCCACATGGTCGACTGCAGTTCAGGTCCCAGACCTGGTGGCTTGCTTTCTCGCTTTCCCATTCTTTCTTTCTCTCTCTCAGGTCAGATTAAAAAAAAAAAAAAAAATAGGGACCAGCAGTTAGTATAATGGCTATGATGCTGGACTCCCATGTAGTCAACTGTGGTTCAAGTCCCAATGATGCGGTGGCTTAAACTCATGCTGACCTCATGTGCATGCGGGCCCAAGATCCCGAGAGGAGAAAAGAGAAGGGATTGCGGCGTGGCCATCCCCCCTGGGGGGTGACTTCTCACTATCTCTCTGTCTCTCACTGTCTTTCTGGCGAGCGCACATGCCTTATAGCAAAAACCTCCCCCCAAAAAAAGCAAAAGCAAAAAGAAACACAAAACATGATAATAACAAATAAAACTGAGTAAATGGGTAATTCTTTAAAAAATAAAAAGATTCCCTAAATCCCTAGCACCTCTCAAATTACAGAAATTTTGCCTTAAGCACTAATTTAATTCTTCCTACCCAAGATTATAGTTCTTTGGTTTCTTTAATTACTAAAATTGCAATGATATTACTTTGAAGTAAAGAACCCATGTCTTATTATTTCATTTAAGTCTTGATTCAAACGTTATAATATCTGAATTATAAATATATAGAGAGGAGATCACCAGATGGTGTGTAATGGTTATGTTGCTGGACTCCCATGCAGTAGACCACGGTTTGAGTCCCGGACCTGGCGGCTTGGACTCACACAAGGCGTATGTGCGTCTGTGCTCAAAATTTCAAGGAGAATGGAGGAGAAGGGACTGTGGTGTGGCCATCCCCCCAGGGGGTGATTTCTTACTTCTGTCTCTCTGGCAAGCACATGCGCCCACAGCAAAAATCTCTCTAAAAAAAGAAAACATTTCTTTATTTCCATGAGTCAGAGGAAAAGACAGCACCCCCAAGAGAGTCCTGATGCCACAGTCTGCTTTCACCCTTCAGCCAGTCCCAGATCATGGGCAACCATGTGCTGGTGTATTTGGGATGTCTCCAGCCTCCCAGAGCACGGTTCTTCACCGCTTTGGCTGATCAGCCCTGTACATCCCCATGTAGACAATCTATCAATTAACTTTCGATTTTACTACCATTTGGAAGAAGAGTACAACTAGTATTTCACAAAAAATGATTTTTAAAGATCCGGGCTGTTTTTCCAAATTCTCTCATTCCCTTCGAATTTCCAATGTCTCCCCACTCTCCTGAGACTTAGCAGATAACTTTGAT